TAAAATCTGTTCCATCTTATTTTCTATTTTCTTTTAGCAATTTTGTTTATTAATTAATTTTATTTAATTAATATTTCTTCGTTTTTTCCGAAACACACCCAACAGTATTTTTGTCAAAATTTTAAGTTTTATGCTCTAATGGTAATATTTTTAACAACGAACATTTACATACTATTTTCAAATTAAAATTACTTTCATATAATTATGTTATTGATCAATGTTTAATATCATTAATTGAAAAAGTTAAATATGACAAATTAAAAAGAGACGAGGTGAATGTATATTAATATCCTTCCGTTCCAAAAAAGTTCGTCAAATTGAGTTTTCTTAGTCAATGCTAGCAAACTTTGGACAATTATTTTAATTATTATATTTATATATAATATGTAAATTTTATACTTTTACCAAAGTATTTTTAATGAAGAACATTTTAATATAATTTTTATATCTAAAATAATTTAGTGTTAGAAAAATATCATTGGTCAAAGTCGGTTAATATTGTCCAAGAAAAGTCGATTTGACAAAACCTTTCCGGGATGAAGGGAATATATTGTAGTCACATGAAATGTGAGTATATAGTAATGCACTTCTTTTTATGCCAAGCAAACCTATTCTATTCATATTTTGGGGAATTAAATTTATTTGTTATTCCATCTTATCCGTCTCATTGGAATTTGCCAAGTTTAAATTAAAATATTCATTTTTGTTTTTCTAAAAAATGTGCCTTCCATTAAACCAATTAATCCTATTTTCTCTTTATTTATATTTTTTTTGCTATATAAACCTCAATAAAACAATTATATGGAGAAAAATTATATTTAAATATTTTTTAATAAAATAAAGAACAAAAAAATATATTTATATGTTGTGATAAAATTGATTGAACTGGTTGATATTGCTGAAATTTATAAAATTCTGGCTGAATGAATGGATTGATTGATTTTGCCGATCAATTATAAAAAAATTATATTAAAAATATACTCCTTCCGTCCCGGTCATTTCTTCCAACTTTCCTTTTTGGGCCGTCCCAATTAATTCTTCAAATTTTCACTTTTAGAAAAAATATGTGGTTCACATTCATTCACCTTTTTCTTACATAACTACAACCATACATTTTCACTTTATTCTCACTACCTAAATTTGCGATACCGGTCAAAACCGGAAGAAATGACTGGGACGGAGGCAGTATATTGTTAATAAAATAAAGAACATGCAATGTATTTATATATGGTTATAAAATATATTTTGTTAATAAATTAAATGAAAAAATAGCTAAAATGATCTTTTATTGTAATTTCAGCCAATTCAGACAAATCATAACTCTAACCTTAACTTTTTTTTTTTGCACAACTCAATATGTGAAATAAAAAGTTGCGTATATCATAAAAATGACTTGTAGCACCGATAAGTAAAAAAAGGTGATCAAACAAGCTCGTACTTTGTGATAGTTTTTAATACGTGAAAAGTAAGTATGAGACTCGACGGTGGGTGCAAGCAATGCCTATAAAGGCCAGAAATAACGGGCCTCTTTGCATCATCGGCCACACCCACACACGGCTACTCTAAAATAGCTGACGGTGGATCTTATCGCTCTGGGGAGAAGCCGTGAGCCAATCTACCACTCATCCCTAATTTAATAAATTAATGGCTCCGTTAAATTATAATTACAATATAATTGTAATTACATTATACTCCTTCCGTCTCATTCGACTTTGTCAACTTTCCTTTTTTGGTTGTTTCAAAAAACTTTGACACTTTTCAATTAAAGCAACAAATATGTGGTTCTGCACATTTTACTCTCCTCTGCATAAATCTCAATCACACAGTTTATACTTTTCTAATTTCTCACTTACTTTGCGCTTGGCAAAGTCCACCGGGACGAAGGTAGTATTGAACTATTATAAAATTACAATATTACTCCGTACAATATATTGTACTATTATAAAATTATCGTATATATATATATATACTTCGTATTTTATAATATTATATAATGTTGATGACTCTATATTAATTACTTCCATTTTCAATTTTAGAGAAAGGCTATGAAGTATGAAGATATTGGAAGATGGGGAAAATATATAAGAATATTTTTCCATTATCCCTCAAAATCTTACCAAGTTTGATGTACATGAAATAATAACATATAAATTATGTGATTGAATTTGTATAGAAAAGAAAAAAGTAATAAAAATTACAAATTAATTAATTAAAAAGGAAAATGGTAATAAAAAAATACGTACTATATGACAGAGCTATAAGTGATAGATCTGAGTAACCTCTTCCAAGCCTTATTAATTAGTGGCAAAAGCTTGGCTTGCTACAACCAGCTGAGCTGATTTCACCATGTAGCTAGCTTAATTACTAAAAATAGAAAAAGCTTCCTCGAATTAAGCTATGCATCGATGCACGTATGATGTGTCTCTGTATATATAGCGTTATAACTACGTGTTCTTCACTATTTTGAGCAATGACTGACTCAGCTCTTGTCAACAAATAGCGTAGTATGTTTTTTGTTTGGATCGGGTAGGCAAACCCCACCCAATCCGTAGGCTAAACCGGGGAACACGGACGGAGTCAGAAAAATGTGCGAGGGGGTCAAAATTTAATTATATACAGTATCAAAATGATGGATAGTTATTATACAATACTTGAATTAAATGTTTCATATGTAGACGAGATAAATGGTAGTTTAATGGAAATTTTTCGGTTAATGTGTTGATATATAGGTAATGTATCATAATGTTCACACAACTAATGACCGAATAAGTTGTTTTATTTTTAAATTTAAGAATATAATCAACGTCACACATCAAATTTTGCCTATTTCAAGTTAAGATAGTGCTGATTTTTCTAGAAGTCATAACATTTTGCAAATCGAGGGTATTTCAGAGCTCTACATTCTTGAACTTTCAGTGGGGTCGGCTGACCACCCTGACCCCCCCCCCCCCCTTGGTTCCGCCCCTGCCAGGAAACATTTATCGAATTTATTAAATAAAAAAATAATGTCAAGGAATTAGGATTATAAATTAACTTATACGGAATCATTTGTAAAATTGAATTTTATAATATAATAATACACTTAACTACTTGAGCATGGTGTTAATGTGAGGAAATTTATGAATATTTCATTTGAACCGACTCTTGACTAAAATCAACTTCTGCCAAATGGCCAAGTGATGGTGACACAGAGGGGTAAGAGGGGGCACCGACTCCCAAGGAAAAATTCTTATATGTGTGTGTAAATATTTATAATTTGCATTATATAAATTTTTCTAAGTTTTGGTCTCCACAATTGTTAAGATAGGGGGACTAGCCTAAATTCTTAATATAGTGCATCATTACTGCTGAATTTACCGGTGTGAGACTTCAACACCCCTCTCTACGACCAGACATTTCGTATGTATCGTGCGGTCTTTCATTTTTCTTGTTAGTTCGTCATTGTCTTGTTGTTTTTTGTAATCATGCCGACATTTCTCTTAAGGGACCCCACACCATCAATTTGGCTCTGATCTCATGTTAAGATGTGAGTTCCATCTTAAAAGGTCAAATTCATAGAAGAAATAACTTAGAATCTTAATATAACACTTTATTACTGATTAATTTACAGGTGAGATTTCAACAACAATGTAATATTTTTAAGTTCGACCCCTCCAAACTACATTTTGTCGATCTTCACAACTAATCATTTCCCGGCCTATCGCATCACATAAATTGTGTTTAATTAGCAACTTCTAGAAAGATGTTGAATTTACTTATAAATAGTACTCCCTCAGTCCCAATTTGTAAGATATGTTTCCTATTCACTTGGTTAACACAAATCACTCTTAATCTCTTACTTTATAAATTAATTTTTTATCAAATTTGGTTCAGGTTTTCCGACTTTGTAAAGCTTTTAATGTAGTTTCTGAATATGTAAAAAAAAATCTAAAACAACTTTGAGTGCTTTATCGTTGGTCAAACATCGTAAACCATAAATTGTCTTACAAAGTGGGACGGAGGGAGTACTATTTTCGTCCCACTACCATTTAGACGAGAGGTAGTGACACGATTATTAAAACAATTGTGATTCATATTGAATTGATAAAGTAAAAATAAAGTAAAAGTGATTTAGAGTCACACATACTTTACCAAATTTAGTACTACCTCCGTCCCGGTGGACTTTGCCATGTGCAAAGTAGGTGAGAAATAAGAATAGTAAAAACTGTGTCGTTGAGATATGTGCAGAGGAGAGAGAAACGTGCAGAACTACAAATTGGTTGCTTTAATAGGAAAGTGTCAAAGAATTTTGGGACAGCCAAAAATAGGAAAATTGGTAAAGTCCAATGGGACATAGGGAGTATGAGACAATCTTAGTAGAATTTTTTGAAAATGTTAAATGAGTAAATCTTATCAGGACGAAAGGAGGAGTATTATACACACATATAAACAGAGTGATAAAGAGTATTCACTTTATATACAAATACTACTATAATATAGACATACAGCGATAGTGTGGTCTAAACGAGACTATTTAGCGAATAATAGTCAAAACGAACTATTTTTATACACATAAATATTATTGTAGAGGCTAAAGCTTATATATTACGGGGCAAATAAGTCTGAGCTATTTGCAATTCTACAATTATATTAACTTCTTAAGTAGTCATGCTAAGAAACTTAAGAAGGCCTTTTAATAAATTTAAATTATCAACACACTCACACAGTACATTTTCGGGAAAAATAAAGTAAAAGATTAGGCAAGTGAACTCAAGGCGGTAGAAGAATCCAGATTCTAGGATTTCAGTTATAATTATTTATTGTTTTTAGTTACAGATCTCCGTAGTTAATATTGTATTTAGTAGCTAAATCGATTTACGGTTCAAACTGGAAGGAAAATCGATTTAATATTGCTACGGAGAACTCCATAGCTAATACACGTAGGTAAATCGATTTTCCTTCCAATTTGAACCGTAAATATATTACAATCCTCATGTATTCTGTGATTTTGGATGCGAGAGTGATTTGGATTACCTCCGGAACTGGTTGGACTATTGTTGAGGTGTTAGAAGATCGCGTCTGAGGCTGATGTGGTGATGGCGATCTAGCCCTGGACCGAAACTGCTCACTCACCACGGCCATGGAAGTCGTCAAGTTTGCCGCCAAATTTTCCATTACTGAACGCAGATCGCTCACAGCCGACTGTAATTCCTCCTTCATCTCCGCTGGAACCTCAAGTATTTTTCGTTCCAGGTTATCCACATGAATATCCATTTTAGCTCGCATCCGTACCATTCACCCCTTGAAACGGAAATTTAGCTGAGGTCGCAACTCAATTTTGATTCCCAGGAGCTATGCTGAGATACCAATGATAGAATGCTAACAATTCACAAGTATAAACGTAGCAGATCTATGAAGAATTATACTGTAAATGATCAAAGATGTTTATAGAATGAGGAAGGGATCACAGTACCTATACAAGCCTTGGAACTGTTAGACAAGCCCACTCTCCAAGACAAAAGTCAACTGAATAACCACCTGCCTCATCAGTTATTTACCCATCTATTTATAGCCCATAACCCTTTCCTTTCTATTAATATTATAGGCCCACTTATTATTATCTATAATAATAGGCCCACTTATTATCTATTTCTATCAACCAATTAGCCACAAGTTTATGTATTTATATGGCTAATGTTACTTTAACCCCTACATTATCGATTCTCATAAAGATAAAGTATGTTCGAGGCTTCGAGCAACAAAGTAGGCTTTGAATGTAGGATGGATTCTTGAATTTGTATATATTTGCAAGTTAGAACCTTGGAGTGTATTTTATAAATAAGAATAAGACAATATGTGTTTTAGAAAGAACATGTATCTTAGCTTGTTTATTTCCAGTAGTTAAAAGGTTGAAAGGTATTGATTAGATTGTTTATCAATTTGTTATTAATTTTTTCATTTATTTTGAGGCTTGAATTAATTTACCTTTTGATACTTTAAGAGGCCTTTTGCAGCTTCTTAATAAGTCGAAGAGAATCTTTACAAGTTACGTTCACATTAGAGACGGATGAATTAAAATCCATCCATGACAGTCATTTTGTACTGGTGGTTTAAAAGGACTGAGTATCTATTATCTAACATTCCAGAATTGAGATAATTACGTGAATCTGTCTCTAACTTTGCAACCTTGGTCACTGGCTTTTACTTTTTAAAAAATGAAATCATACATTGTGTTCTGGAAAAACTATAATTCTCCTTTTTCAACTGTTATTCTGTTAAGGTTGAATGAATAACAAATTTTTTGTTCTTGCTTTTGTTTTAAGCTATGAGCAACTTTACTTCTTAATCTCAAAATGTCATTTGTAGCTCTTTACTAAGTATAGGAGAACCTATATTAGGTATATGGTGTTGATAGAGAGCAGGAAGAGCATTGGGCGTGAACGGGCTTGGGCGCACTGCTGTGGGCCGGTTATGGGCGGGGATTATAGTTTTATTTATTACTCCCTCCGTCCCATACTTAACTCCGGTTTTGACCGGGCACGGGTTTTAAGATAGTGGGATTTGTGTGGTGCAGAGGAGAGAGAAATGTGTAAGAATGGTTGTGAACCACATATTCTTTACCAAAAAGGGAAAAAGGAGATAAATTTGGAACGGACCGAAGAGGAAAGAATGAAGATAATTCCGGGACGAAGGGAGTATTATAAAGTTTATGTTATGATTTTAATTTTGGCCTATTACTAGTAGAGTTAGTACCGGCTTAATTATGATTTAATTAATTTGGGCTCGATTAGGGTTTCTGTTGAGTCTCTTACTAGAAGGCTATTTATACCCCCTTGCCAGGGTTCATTCTTGCTTATCATGGAATAAAGTTAGATTTCAACTTTTTGACTCTGGGCAACGGTTTTTATCATTGATTATCTGTGTAACGGTATTATTTTTCTGTTCTCAACAATCGGTCCGACCTGTCAGACATTTTGTCTGTGTAACGGTAAACAAATGTAACGGTATTATTTTTCTGTTCTCCAAATTAACAATCGGTCCGACCTGTCAGAAATTTTTAATCAAATAAATAACCGTTACATTTTGACACCGTAAAATATTATCTTATTCATTAAGTCTACTTTACTCATATCAAATTTGAACTAAAAATTCAATCGGGAAGGTATTCAAATGAATTCTTGAAGATAACTGCTCTTTTAAGTGCACAGTTATCTTCAAGAATTCATTTGTTTGCCTTCCCGATTGAAGCTTTAGTTCAAATTTGATATGAGTAAACTAAACTTAATGAATATGATTCTCAAAAAAATTCATCAAAAAATTCCACCGGGAACCGCTCCAAATTGCGTCGGCCACACAGAGCATCCTAAATATGACCTTATTTGACTTTTTTTTTCAAGTTTGAGGCTCTATATGACCCTTATCCCTTTATTATATTATGTAGACTATATTTAAAATTTTGGGCCTTCTGAAATCGAGAGGCCTTGTGCGATAGCACTTCTTGCACGCCCTCATCTACGGCCCTGCTAGAAAATCACTTCCTAAAATAGATTTAATAATCAAGGTATTAAAGTCAAATCATTATTCTACTTGATTGCTCTTTCTATCTGTCCATAATATTATATTGTAGCATGCATCATAAGCATTCGGCAAAATCTTTCATATACTTTACCTTTATATTGAAGAACCAAGAAGTATTAGGGGTATGTCAAACTGTCCAAGAAGTCTCATGCATTGATGAGCTAGAAAATTGCTGATTTATACGAAGTACTTATTAAGCATGGCATGCATTTTAATGGTATTCAAATGGTGGTGTAATACACAAAATAGGATTTTACTTGCGCCTCAGTTTCATTATGCTTCATTGTTTTGTTATTTAGGAGGAAACAGTGGAGGATTACACAAAAAAGTGGCATCGATCCACTCACAGTATCTCTTTACCAGATGGACGTGGACAGAACCATGTTTAGTTCTACAGAGCTTGCTGTACACACTGTGATGGACTGTTGTTTACTAGGCTGGACTTGCCATTTGCGTGCAATATATCTAAATTCTAGCTTTCTGACTTGTGGTGTTTAATTTGTGTCTACTCTCCTAACTTGTAAATTTCAATCACAGATTGAGAGGTACGTGTTTCACATTCAAAGAACCAGTGAATTATGGAACTGCATAGAAAAAAAATGCAGAAAAAATGCATAGACAGTACGTTAACTATTGGTAATGTTGCATTTTAAAAAAAATGCAAAAAAAAATGCATAGACAGTACCTTAACTATTGATAATGTTGCATTTTAGTACCTTAAGTTTTTAAAGAAGCAAATCAGTACCTCAACTATTTTAAATGTTGCATCCGGCGGTACTACTCAATTTTCCGGCCAAAAAATGCCACATGGCGGCAGGAAATCCACGCAATACATTGTAATCATTATTTTTATCCACATCATCACATGTCACATCATTTGTACAAAACTGAAAAAAAACAAATTTTCAAAAACACTGCAGTAAGAGTTGAACTTGCGTTGCTTGGGAGGATGCAACGTACTGACCATTCAACTGCCATCTAACTACTTCAACTTTCATTAAATTTGGAGAAAGTAAATTTTTAAATAGCAATCTACTTCCGTGCTTTTTTTGACTGATTTAATTTATATTTTACCTCAAATATATGCTATACCAGGGTGTCGTTTACACCGTAAATCCGTAATTATATTTTAAAATATTTGAATTTAAATATTTTTGTTCAAAATTTATATTTCGCATTTTTTAGTCTAAAAACTCCAACAGTTGAAATTTCAGACATTTTTTTACTTTATATATGTATTATTGGTGTCAACCTTTCCATCTGTTTAATCTCATCTCCATGAATAAACCTAATGGCAATGTCTCTAGCTCTCCAAGCTGTGTTCCTTGAAATCGCCACACTGAACTCTCTTTTAACACTTGTTTGTATATTTGCAATCAACTATGTAGGGTCAATTCTAAAACTATCACTATAATAATTTGCGATGAACTTTGCGTTAATATGTCGGTTGTAGTTCACCTTTGTACAATGATAAATGTTTCAGGTTTGCACTTTTGATCTGAACTGCACTCTTATCTGGATTTGTGAGGTATGCCCATATATATGTAGAAACCACATTTGTTTTTACATATAGCTTTACATTTTTCTTTGTTATTTGGACAGAAAACAACCTCGTCCTTTGATCTTACTGAAGTCATCTTCACTTCATCTTTAAACTGCTTGAAAGTGTTGAAAACCATGCCAACTTTAAAGTCAGGATTTTTCATGTCATCTGTTTCACTAAAAACCGGTCAGTGTGACTTTCTTATTGTGCCATGACTACCATCTGACTCATCATTTGAACATGAATAAAGCTCATCTGATGGAGTATAAATTGTATCCACTGAAGCATCTGACTCATGACCACATGTATTAAGATTGTTTGCACCGTGTTTCTCTACCTCCTTATCTATAAACTGGTCAAATAAGTCATCATCATTTTCAATATCATCCTCGAGAAGATCATAATCTGAATCATACAGGTTTGAATCAATATCATCATGACTAGTTTCACTATCATGATTGGAATGCAAGAATTCTGAATTGATATCATCATATCGTTTACTACTTGCACATTGCACTTCATTCTCAGTTGTTTCCCCAATCTTAGCATAAATATGCAAAATTTTGTCTGCAGAAACAAAAGATGACATTTCTAGTACATCACGGTCGGTCTCTAAATTCATATCACTATTACCAAAAATCTTGTTTGGATGCTTCGAGAATAGCTTCAAACAACCACCAACCAATCCACACTCTTCAGCCATACGATCTATCTCCATTTTTGAAATCTTATCAAATGAACAATAATCAATCCAGCCCACATCATTAAACTTGAAATCCTCATCAATTGTATGCCATTGTATAGAAAAGTAATCCTCATCAACATATGTGCTAATAAATCAATGACCAGACCCATCGATTCATTATGGGAACAAGGAGTTGTAATCATTCTCATGAATCTAATGTAAGTTTTTTCTTACTGAATATAGTTTTTAAGTAATGAACCACATAAAAAATTTAGATTAATTGAGTAAAACAATTTCATGTAATGAATAATACCTAATCCAGTATAACTAAATTATAGAGATAAAATCAAACAAATAAACCTAACATTATTCATGGAAACTTACTGTATGCAGGAGAAGACTCGCCATCAATTCGTTTCTGCCAATCTTTTGACATTTTGTCCTCCTTGGGAATACAATAGAAAAAATGTAGATGCAAGGAATCAGAAGTGTGGATGCAAGGAATCAGAAGGTGCTCTTCTTTTCATCGTATGTGCTGAATCAAAAGGGTTGAGATCAGACTTGCACCTGCATCTTAGAGCATTGCTATGGATTTGTAGAGAGGGTTTTTTTATCGGCAAAGATAGAGTTTGAATTTGAGAAGTTCAGACGATAAAGATCTTTTAGCGGTAAGGATTAGGGCACAGTAA